AGGTTGACTGTTTTCCATCATTGAACGATGCGAGTGTCCGTTTTGTCGAAGGTTGGTGTCATAAGTGTTGTTATGCAGTGCTACGCCACCTGAGGAACACTAGACAGCTCACTTTGTTGAATGACTATCCACCGAGCTGTAGGACATGCGACCATCCACCAGAAGCCCACATTTCCTTCCAAAACCTGCACGAACTACGGGCATCTCTGAGGTTTTTGTTAACTGAGGAGTGGCATGAGAGAATCCGATTTCCTAATCTTGCACTTGTGGTTCTGAACTGGTCCGAGGTGTCTGAGTATCTTGGAAAGAGGTCGAAATGCAATTCCGTGTTCCCGGGTGCTCGCATACACTTTTCCATCTCGAAGGAATGTCGGGACAGTGCCCTCAGTGACTGCGGAGCCTGTGATTTCCAAACCAGTGCTCATGTGACCTTGGAATTCGCAGATCCCAATGACAGATCTTCATGTCCATCGGGAGTGAGGTTCGGAGGCTGCAGTGAGCTCTACCTCAGTGGGGACTTCATTGTTCCGCTCTCACTCAAGGAGGTTCACCTGCAATTTTGTCTTGAACCCATCGTCAATGGTCGTCGTTCTGGCGAGGCCCTTGAGAGGAATGACATTGAAGAGATCATTCTGAAGGGCGATGTAGACATTTCTCGCCTTCGATGCATCATAACTTCAGTGAGCAGTCCTAGTAGGGCATCACTGAGTGAGAGACCCCCTTGGGCAACTGTGGCTCACGACTTTGGGGTGGTAGTCAGGCTGAAATTCCTGCCTCTTTTGGCTGTCCAGAGGAATACTCTCGTCTCACTCGACATTTCAGCAGAGTTGCTTCTTGGTTGTCTTAGAGATGACCAAGCGTTCGGACAGATTGTGAGTCTTCGTGGTCAGCTGCTAAGTGTGCGTGAGTTAGTAGCTAACTGTGGGTCATTCCTGAGTCGTGGGTGCCTCAGCTTAGAAAGTATTTCAACTGCTGATCTGCGACCATTTCTGGAGATGTTTCCGTCCCTCGAATACCTTGAAGTAGATCTACACAATTACTTTCAGGTGACCACTATCGATGATTTCTGCAGTGTTTGTCCGTGCTTGAAAACACTTGTCTGTTATTCAGGCAGCTATGGAGATGATTGGATGGCCAGAAGGAGTCCTCCCTGGAGACTGGAAACACTCCAGTGGTTACATGCTGATGACTTTACTGCTGAACATCTGTCTGCATTGGCCGAGTGTGTGCAGGCATCTTGCATTCTTTTCCATCTCTCTGACGATGAACCCACATTGGAGAGGGCGCACATTGAGGCTGTCTTTGCAAGGATGCCCTGTCTAAGCTGGCTTATTCTGGTTTGGGAATTGCAAAGGCTTACCTGGATCTGCAGTCGGTCGGCGGGCGGCCAGACGGTCGACATCATGCCGCAGAATACAATGTTGGGAGAGGATCTTTTGCCATCGTACCCACATCTATTTTCAAAGTTCTGGGCTGGACTCATGCGAGGCAATCCTATTTATTACCACCTGGATCCATAGATGGCATGGTGCATTGCAAACCTATGCGTCATTTTGGAAAAAATTTTTACCACACACTTTTGCCTCAGGAGTGGAATAAAATTGTTTACTGAGCGGTGACTGTAACTGTCAGTATCTGTTCCCGTTTATTGCGGTGGGCTACCTCAGTCTCTCTCCCGCAACTAATCAGTTAGAAATGACGAGATTTATTTGGTGACTGACCTGAGTAGTGATTTCGACTCAGTTCTCAGTGTATGGCGCGTTTTGCCTGATGCTCTAGCGGACGATCCAGTCACCCTTCCTCCGGCTCCGTTTTGTCGGTCGCTGGTACCGACAGTCGTTGGCAGACGGCTGACACACGGCCATCCCCGCCGTCTAGAACTGGGGCGCCTCCTCCCCACTTGCAGGGGATCCCAGTTGTCTTAAAAAAACTTTCTTCACCTCTCTCACACACATACGCACGTTAGTTCGACCGTCCAATCCGATGATATCCACCGTGTGCACAACAGCAGCAGCAGCGGTGGGAGCATGGACGGTGACTTTTGCAGGGATTTATAGTGCCAGTAGACTTGCGTTGCATCTACCTACACTCTCTCCTCCTCCCCGCCTGAGTGGTATCTTTGTCTGTTTGCTATAACAGAAAATATACGTTTACACATAAAGAGACTGGGACCGAAATTGTAATATACTTCGGAATATTTGAACTGCGACTGCGTTTGGCGGAAGTGTATCGGCACGAGTAGGCGACCTATAAATCGTAGTTCATTTCAACTTGCAGGCCTCGACATATACTTCAAAGGCCAGCTTAGCCCTGAACCACGGGATCAGTACCTCCCAATGACCGTTTGTTGTATTTTGTCGGCCTTCGTAATGTCACAGTTACGACCGCAGTTTTGGATACGAAATATAAATAAGTAAATTTTTATGTAGTAAAGATGCTATCTGTATCTATATTCATACAGATTTGCGAGTTACGGAGGTAGTATGCATTCTGAGACGATATAATAAAAGGATAAGGCTCGTCGGAAAATCGAATTATACTCGTGAATTTTCAAGTCGGTTACCCCAACCCGTCGTCAGGCGAAATGAAAATTATGAGATAATCGCATTAGGGAGCTGGGGGGACATTGAGGTTACATCGACAAAAAAGACTCCTATGTGTGGGGGTGAAGACCGTGTGTGGATAGGTGACGGACGTTAGGGGAGGTGTTGAGTGTTTCACACATGGTTCACTCTGTGGGGGAGGTGCTGAATCCGTGATATTCTACATGGCTGAACACAGAATAGAAGCTGGTGTCTTAGGGTGGACGCAAGCCGGCGAACCGTGAACGCAAACCTTCGTAGTGGGCGTCCAAGTCGACATGGCGGTTGATACTATTGTTATTTGAGTTCCAGACTTCTAGAAACTCGCGCCTGTTTCGCGTTGGCACTAGC